AACAAAAGGTGCAGGAAATGTACTATTTTTGGTCCAACGGTTGGGTTCTTGCGGATCGTGGAATTTTCTATGGGTCGTAGGAAAGGAAACCTAAAATCATGTTTGAAGTTGGAAATACGGTTTGTTGTACGGTCCATCAAAATTTCTATGGACCGTAGGTCAACCCGTAGCTCCTAACTTATGTTACTGTTTTATGCCTTTAATCACTATGAGACTGATCTACGAGTCGTAGAAATTTCTACAGATCGTAGATAGGCTTCATAGTCCCCAACCTCTATTCTTAAATATGATACAGCTTGTACGATTTCTATCTACGGTTCATAGAAATTGCTACGACCCGTAGATAGAAATTGTACAAGTCTTGATATGAAATGGGCAACACTGATCTGTTAGGCTAGTCTACGAGAGGCAACCAGGGATCGTAGAATTTTCTACAGTCCGTAGAAGACCCTCATAGGTATCAAAATCAATGTGTTATGACACCCACACAAGTTAAATTCCTAAAGTTTAACAGCCCCAACCTAATCTTCATAATTCACATTTATCATTAACATCACAATAATTTACAATCATCCCTCAGGTTTTCTCAAGAATTAAACTATCATATAACCCTAGGTCAAGTTTTAAACCAATTTAATATATTCAAAATCTATGACACACATACAAAAGAATTGGCAATTTTCACAATACTATCATCCCAAAGGTTGATTTACACGATTAACGCATCAATAGAAACATTACAACCCTAGGTCAAGTTTCAACTCCAAATTTCAACCAAAGTTAATTAATTAAGGATGAAATTTGTCCCTTTTGGATTGAAGTTGTGTGAGTATAGTACCATTGCACAACATGACTACCTTGATTAACACTGACCCATGACTCATTGCTCTCACTAAAAAATTGGGGATTTTCTTGGAAGAGAAAAGAAGGAAACAATTGGAAAATAGGGAAGAAGAAGAAAAGGACAATGGAGTGGGGGTGTTTATTGGGTTTGATGGATAATGAAAGGGTGGGAAATTGGAGAGGTGTAATGTTCAAATGGTTTTGGGAAGAGGGAAATGGGGAATGAATTCGACATGGAGGGTTTTATTGCAAAGGGTCATGGGTCGGTCTTTTAAATTTTATTTACTAGGTTCGACAAAATCCCATCTACGAACCATAGGATTTCCTATGATTCGTAGAAGGCTTCCGTAGTTGGAATTTTTACTTAGCAAAAGTTAGAAAACATACCTGGATTCCATGAGTACAAACTACGAACCGTAGAAATTTCTATTATACATACTGTGCACTCGAAGACTTAATGCTGCAACTACTCTTGGACTTAAATTTTATTGCCACCATTTATGATTCCTTTATTAAACAACGACTCGTAGATGGTACCCATAGAACCAGTCCTTAATAATTGTTAATTTCCTAAGGTTCTACGAACAGGGCCTACAGTTTTTAGGAATTCCTATGACCTATAGGACACATATGTAGGACCCTGTGCACTTCAAATTTTTCTAGATATTTTCTTTCTTTCCTGCACATGTACCAAACATTATGCCTTCATTTTATATTTTCTTAACACTATTTTGACACAGACCCTAAGTTAAATTATCCTGCTTAAAAATCAAAACTAAAAATATAGAAAACAAACAAAAAAAACTTAACTAAAACATCTTGGGTTGCCTCCCTAACAATGCTTGATTTAACATCGCGGCACAATGCAGACTCCTTGATTACTTATACTTCATCAAGATCTCATTCTTCAATCACCTCTTTGACTTCTTCTTCTCGTCCCATGTAGAATTTTATCCTCTGACCATTCATCTTGAACCTTGTACCCTTATCATTTTCTAGCTCAACCGTTCCGTGTAAGAACACTTGTACTACTCGAAATAGTCCCGTCCACTTTAACTTGAGCTTGGCAGGAAACAAGCGTAGCGTTGAAGTGAAGAGAAGGACCCAATCACCAAGAGAAAATTCTAAATTTCTAATATTTTGATCGTGATAATTCTTCATCTTTTCTTTTTATAAGGCTGGAATTTCAAACGTTTTTAGGTGAAACTCATCAAGTCCATTTTTCTCATTTGACCTTTGATTTGATGCAGCACCTCAATCTAGATTCGACTTCTTGAGTGCCCACGTAGCTTTGTGCTCTAGATCTACAGGCAAGTGACAAGACTTCCCAAACACAAGTTAGTAAGGAGACACACCTATGGGACTCTTAAATGCAGTACAATATGCCCACAGAGCATCATCAAGCTTTCTAGACCAATCAATTGTATTCACATTCAGTGTTTGCAAGGATTTGCTTGATCTCTCTATTTGACACTTCAACTTGCCCAATAGACTGTGAATGATAAGGAGTTGTCATGTTATGCCTAACATCACACTTCTTAAGCAAAGCCTTGAAAAACTTATTACAAAAGTGAGAACCTCCATCTTTGATAATCGCCCTTGATGTACCAAATCTAGAAAAGATATTTTTTCAGGAATGTGGTGACACTCTTTCCTTCATTGTTTGAAAGTGTAACAGGCAGAGCTTCCACACATTTAGATACATAGGCAATCACTAATTGTATGTAGTTCATCCCATTCGAACTCATGAATGGACCCATAAAGTCAAGGCACCAAACATCGAACAATTCAATCACCAAAATAGGAGCAAGCGGGAGTTCTTGCTTCCTTGAAATACCTCATTCTATTTGACAACAATCACAAGATGGCAAAATCATGAACATCTTTGTGAATGGTGGGCCAATAATACCCTAAACTGCAAGATCTTATCAGCAGTTTGGATACCACTATGATGACTACCAACATGAGACAAAAGGGAAGCTTCCAATTAACTCATCATCTCAACCTCATGAATACAACAATGAGTAATTCCATTGGCGCAGACACGGAACAGATAAGGCTCTTCCCAGAAAAATTTCTTCACATCAGACATGAATCTTCTTCTTTGGTGAAATGAAAAATCTGAAGGCACCACAACAGTCACCAAATAATTAGTGAAATTTGCGAACCAAGGGATAAGATCAAATGAAGCAGCCAAAACTTGCTCATCTGGAAACGTATCATCAACATAAAATCCATTAACCAATATCAACATTTATTCTTCTAATCTGGACAACTGACCAACAACTTGATTTTCTATCTTTTCTCTATCTTTCACCTCGAAATTGAACTCTTGCAACAATAACACCCATTGAAGTAGTCTCAGTTTTGCGTCCTGCATTGCCATAAGATACCTCAGAGTTGCATTCTCAGTGTGCAATATGACTTTAGTGCCAAGAAAATAGGATCTAAATTTCTCAAACATGAAGACTACAACCATCAATTCTTGTTCAGTAACGTTGTAGTTCTTTTGAGCAACATTCAAGATTTTTCTTGTATAGTATATTTGATGAAGAATCTTTTCATGATTTTTCATTAATAATACACCCAAGCGCCATGCCATTGTATAACACATAACTTTGAATGGTTGTCCCTAATCCGTAGAAATAATGATCAGTGCAGAAATCAACTTCTCTTTCAACTTTTGAAATCCTTTCAGACAAGAATCATCAAACTTGAACTTTGTCTCCTTCTCAAGTAAATTGCATAATGGGTGTGCTATCTTGGAGTAATCTTTGATAAATCTCCGATAAAAACTAGCATGACCCAAAAGGCTTCTAACACCCTTTACATAGATAGTGGGGGCAACTTTTCAATCACCTCAATTTTTACTTTATCAACCTCATGCCTTTGTGAGAGATCTGATGCCCCAGAACTATACCCTCTTTCACCATGAAGCGACATTTCTCCCAATTTAACACAAGATTTCATTCTTTATATCATTTTGGAACATCACCTAAATGAGCCAAGAAATCATCAAACAAGTCATCTACCATAGAGAGATCATCCATAAATATTTCAATAGTATATTCAATGATATCTGAGAAGATGGACATCATGCAACGCAAAAATATCGCTAGTGTATTACACAACCCCAATGGCATCCTCTTGAACACAAACATTCCATATCGGTAAGTGAAAGTAGTCTTCTCTTAGTCTTCTGAAGCTATAGAGATCTGATTGTAGCGTGAATACCCATCCAAAAATAGTGCCAACACTTACCGGCAAGACAATCTAATAATTGGTCCATAAACGACATTGTGAAGTGAACTTTCTCTATCTGTGCATTGAATTTGTGATAATCCATGCAACTCTCCAACCAGCAACCGACCTCATCTGTACAAGTTCATTCTTTGCATAATAAACCACATTGATTCCTCCCTTCTTTTGCGTGCATTAAACAGGGGTCACCCAATTACTGTCAGCAATTGGATAAACTACTCTACCATCTAACCACTTGAAAATCTCCTACTTCACAACTTCTTGCATTGGTGGATTTAGTCTCTTCTAGGGATCAATACTCGGTTTACAATCAAGCATGAGCTAGATTTTATGAGAACATATACCAGGTCAAATACCTATAATGTCAGTAATTGTTCAGCCAATCGCCCTCTTAAAACATCTCAATACCGATATCAAGCCTCTACTTTCCCGTTATTCAGATCAGCAGTAATGATGACTGGCAAAGTATTATTCATCCCCATTAACATATACCTCAAGTGAGATGGGAGAGATTTTAGTTCCAACTTTGGGGGGTCATCGATGGACGATTTTGCTGGCAGAGTCTCTATTTTTCAAATCCAAATCCACCTTTTTTTGTGTATGTCAAAAATATCCGGAACCATTAAGTGCACCGACCATCTCATTGTACTCCTTAATGTGCACTCTATCAAAATTCATGATCATAACCACTAATGCTTCAACATCTAATATATCTTGAATTGGCACTTATGTTTGCTCCTCAACAGTCATATTCACTATGAACACCACTTTAAAATCACTTTGATGCTTCATTGATTTGAAGATATTGAATGTTACCTCTTCATTGTTCAATGTGAACTTCATCTGCCTTCTCTCCTTATCAACTAAACCACACCTAGAAGCAAGGAATGATCTCCCTAAGATGATAGGCACTTAAAGTCAACCTCGTACTCTAAGATCACAAAATCCACAAGAAAGATGAACGCCTCCAGCTTAACTAGAACATCTTGTAGAACCCCAACTGGTTTCTTTACAATATGATCAGCCATAAGTAGCCGTATTGAAGTCGATTCAGGGGCTCCCAAGCCGAACTTCTTGAACACAAATAGTGACATCAAATTAATGTTAGAACCCAAGTCACGTAGGGCCTTAGAAAAGTGTAACGCACCAATTGTACATGGAATGGTAAACAATCCAGGATCTTTCTTCTTTTGCACTAATGATCTAGTAGCAATGACACTATAATGTTGCAACTTATCATTATCATTCCCTTCAAAAACTGATGGCCCTCTTTTTGGTAACTAGATATTTCATAAACTTCATATATCTCATCATCTATTCGAGTGCTTCTACAAAGGAATGTTTATGGAGAGTTGTTTTAACATGAAGAAGAACTTATGATATTTCCCTTCCTCAATTTTCTTGGCCAATCTTTGCAGGAAATACGGATAAGATCTTGGCGTCGGGATTATCTTTGAGTGACTTCTTCTTCTTTATCAACTTGATCTTTAGGTTGTTCTAATTCTTCAACTTCAGCCTCTTCCAGTTCCTTCAAACTTTCCACCTCAATTGGAATAGGAGAGTCAATAGTCTGTTTCCACCTCAAGTAGTAACTGACATGCATTGTCAATTATTCTTTAGATTTTGAATAATATTGCCGGGAAGTATTTCTTTTTATCGTGGGTTCATAGTTGATGATAGCTGACTCAACTATTGCTCAATCTACTTAATAGAAACAACATGTGAATCTACATTTTGCCCAATGCTTAATAGATAAGTACGCATCTTTTTCATATTATCATCTATCGAGTCAAACCTTTTCATTATATTGGACATCATATCCTCAAAGTGATTCAAACTTGAACCTCCATCTTGATTACATGGTGGGACATACAAACCACTCCTCTCATTCCTATTTTTTACCCATTCCTATTGTAATTATTATCGCGATTGTAGTTATCTTCACTATCGTAGTTCCCTTTACGATTGTAGTTTCCTTCACTATTGTAGTTGTTGAAGTTTCAACCTTGATTCCTTGACCTTGGAGCCAATTATCCTAATAGATTCTTGAGAGTTAGTCCAGATCCCCCCCCCCTTGTCTGCTCATTCACATGATTAGTATCTTCTTTATATATATACTCGTTTTGAGGTGGAGCTCTATTCTGGTAACTGACTGCATTTACTTTCTCAGAACCCCCACATAAATGTTTCAACACTAAGCCGACCTTTGTTCTCAACTACGCCACCTCTTGACGTATATCTTCATTCACTTGATTATGAGTGGTTTTATTAAAAGAAGAGCTATTTGTGGTAGTTGAAGTTCTAGTGCTCCAGGCTCTATTATTTTTGGAAATCTTTTCGAGCTTCTTTACAATATCCTAAAAATATCCTAAAATATGTTAGCTCCGTATGATCCACTAGCGATAGTATCAAACATAGCTTTACCATTGTCATCCAACTTTCTGTAATAGTATTCCTTGAGTGACTCATCATCAGCTAGTGGCTCGGTACACCTCTCATGAAGACAATAAATATGTCTCCTGAATCACTAACCGACTTCTTTGACAGAACCACGAAGTTGTTGAGTTTATCTTTGAGCTTTAACTTCTTTGGCAATGGGAAGTATTTTTCTAAGAACACCATGTGCAGCTCTGTCCATTTAGTAATGATTTATATGAAAGCTTAGAAATCCACATAGTAGCATCACCAGTCAATGATAATGAGAACACATGTAACCTAATTTCATTCATGTCTAAAGTCGGCTTGTCCACATTACTCTTACAAAGAGTTATGACTTTACTCAAATGAGAATATGGGTCCTCACATGACATACTAGAAAATAACCCTCTCGATGTATGCATCAGACTACTAGTAAAAATAAATGTACTTCTAGGTGGTAATAGAAGCACAACAATGGAACTCGTTGATCCCACTCCATTATGATCAACCCTGAAATTATCACGCACATTGGGTGCTTTCTGATCTTTCACTATTGCAGGGTTGTTCTGGTTGTTACCTAGTACCTCTTCCATACGTGGACGTTGAACTCCATGAATTCCCTCTTGTCTCACACCGAACGAATTGACATTTAGTCCTAGATTCTTGTCACACCTAGTGTTAGTCATTTTCATGTATTTTGCATGGTTTTTTATCGTAAGGGTCAGGGGATTGCCTTGCCTTCATGTACTTGGAATTCACTTCGACCTAAACCTGTAGAAAACAAAAAACAAAAAATAAAACGCAAATCAAGAAACAATTGACTATTAGTGTAATAACAAAATTAGTCTAATCTAAAAGTTATATTCCCCAGAAGCGGCACCAAAATTTGATACGCCCAAATTACACCTTCCTAAAGAAGTGTTAGTGATCGTTGTTCAAATAAATAACCTAACAGAGGTTACGGTTAATCCCATGAGGAATGAGGTCTAGACTTAAGCTAATTTATTGTTGATTTTACTTTTAGTCAAATTATTTATGTAAAAAGGTGTGGTTTTATTACACAAAATATATATTGATTCAGTTGAATAAAAAGTAACCAAGTAAATAGGATTATTGTTTTGTTAAGTCAATAGAAGACTATACTAGGGTGTACGGGTTCCACAAAAGTCCTTAACACAGTAAACCTTAAAGTAGTAATCATATTTGGTGTTTAACATGCAAAGTTGGAAAGTTGTGTATCTCCTAAGTAATTGGTCATCCAAGTAGGGAATTTCACCATGCAACTTGGTTTGTCTATGGGTGTGTGATTTACTAACCCTTATCCTTGACCCAGATCATCTCTCACAGAGATGGTTCCAGCTATTAGATAATTGTTGTTGTCACTAAATCTTTGTTGTTTAATCTCTTTTCCTATTTGTTACTTCCTTGGTCGGGCAAGTAGGAATAAGGCGGGTTCTAACATTGCGTACCATTAAAAACAATCAAAACGAAGAGATCAATAATACATGCATAAACATTATTCATGAATTATTAATAATTAGGTCTATATTGTTAATTTCTCATGGTTTCGACAACCGTGGTTGTGGATTTAACTAATCATGCTTGAGTAATCAAAATTCATAATAGGTTTGATAAATTAAATCATGAACTTACAATTAGAGTAGATGAAATCTTGAATCTTCAATTAACGAACAAAATATTATATTATAAATCGTTGCTTCAAGAATTAAATGGATAAATCATTCACTAAAATAATTCTCAAAGTGAAAAATCAAGTATTCAATTTTCTAACAGTAAAAATTAGAACTAAAAATCTATTTATAGACATGCAATCTTACACAAAGTCAAAAAAATAAATACGGGAAAATCTGGGCTTGACAGTTACTTCTACGGTTTGGTCCTACGAATCGAACGAATTTCTAAGGTCCATAGAGATCTTCTTTCAATCAGCATTTTCACTTTTAACTTATATATTGTAATACCCAGGAATCTAGTAGGCTAAATAGGGCTAAGTGTGAGGGCAGCAAGCCAACAAAGAGGGCAAGAGCTTGTAATACCTCGGATTTGTTAAGGAAAACATTCCCTTCCCTAGCCAAATTGGTGAAGGGCAGTGTGGTTGCCAAAATGACTTGATGATCAACCAAGTCCAACCACCATCGCCTATTGGCCTGGTTCCATGGCCCAGGCTACTGGAAAATTGGGCGAGCTAGGTCAGGGCTCGCCGGTCAAGTTAGTGTGTCGCCAAAGAGCCTCCCCCATCACCAAAGTGGTCTTCCTCAACGGAGTGGTTACTATAAATTTAGGCAAGCCAAGGGTTCACCTGGTGAGTCTCCAACTGCCCTTGGGCGAGCCTCAGCGTGCAGCAACCTTAGAAATAAGTTGGGGTCTTTAATGTCTTTTCATAGTTTTCTTAAAGCTATGATGCGTCATTTTACCCCTCTCCTAGAAACATATATAAGCATTCTATAGTCAAATTTCCTCCAACTTAAGTCATTCTCTCAAGAACCTAAAAGAAAACCCAAAGTTCTTCTCTAACATAATTCTCTCTCTAGAACTTGAAGAAGAAGAAAGAGTCAAAGCTAGGATCAAGCTCAAGACTCCAATCCTCAAGCATTTGTGGTCTCTGTGATTAAGGTACGATGTCTTTTAATCCATGGGATCCTTCCTCCCATGGAGTCCCCTAGATTTCCCCCAATTTGAAGAAGAATTCCCCAATTGTAGTTAGGGTTTCTTCCAATGTTGTGGGTTATGATGAATGTTGATCAAATTAAGTGGATTATGATTGTTTATGATTGAATTGATAGGATTAAGTGTTTTTAGGATGAAATTACATATACCAATGCCTATTTCATGATTCTAACCTAGTACTGATATAATTGGGTTGATGTCATGAAGGGAAACTTCATGGGTTAGGGTTATCCTTATAGGATTGATGATTTATGATGATAATTTCTTGAGAATAAATCATAGATGATGATCATGAGATGTAGATGCTTTGAGAGTGAAGCTTATGATATGAAATGTTGGTAATTGATGTTAGTGTGGTAGAAGAGATACTTCCCACATGAATTGTTTATTATGAATGTATGAATGTGAAAGACTTTCTCACATGAATGATTCTAGGTTGAAAGGATTGCTCACCTTAAATGAATCTAGACTAAAATACTATGTAAATGATGAGGCTAAAGGCGACTACCTTTGACCTCCATATGAGAAGGATATGAGGTGATTTCACATACTCCCTGGAATTGAACAAGAGGTGATTCCCCATGTTCCTATTATGATGAATGGAAAATGAGGAAAGTACCCACAATCCTTATGGAATGATAGGGAGGCGGGTACCCGTGTCATATGATGTGATTATGGAGGTTAGTACCCATGATCTTAAAGTAAGTAAGGCAAGAGGTGAATACCCATTATCCTTTGTAAGCTAGGAAAAGAGGTGAATCCACATGTCTTTAAAACTAAGTATGAAAAATGTGAATTATTTTATTAAGGATGAATAGGTTGGATTGTTGCTTGAGATGCATTTCATGATGTAAGTATGATTAGAGGCTGATGGCCCAAGTATTGACTAAGGTTAAGTGAGGTTGCTAAAGAAGTATTCTTCTTTTATTATGATGATTCATGTGCATTGATTATCCTTATGGTTCATATTGACTAACCATTATGTTTATGTTGTTTATGCTAGCTATCTTATTTAGGTCATGTTTGTACTAACGCACACTCTTGCCTACATTTCTTATAAAAATGTAGGGTCTAGCGACATTGATTCTCACACTCGTGGCTAGGTCCATAGTTGATCAAGGAGTGAAGATCTAGTGAATCCTCATAGCATTCGAGGATTCGACCACCACTTTCCTTATGTCTTTCTTTTACGTTTGGACTATTGTATGGGTTGCATCCCAAGATTTATTCATGTTGGCTAGATGGTTTAAGACAGTTGTATGTTTGAAATGTCTTAAATTTCTGCACCATTTCTATTACTTCATGTTATGATATGCTAAGTGTCTTGTATGAGATCTCTCGGGGTCTTATACGCCTTGTTACATCTAGGGGTACCCCTGGATCGTGACAAACTTGGTAATCAGAGCACAAGGTTTAGAATAGTTCTAGGATGTCTCAAACCACATCAAGTAGAGTCTTGTTCATAAGTGTGAAGAGCGCCACATTTATGAATTAGAG